ACTTCTACCAGCTCCTCCTGCACTGCCAAATCAGCATGCCACGCACTGACTCAGCCCACCCTCCTGGAGCTGCCTCCCACTCTCATGCCCTCCTGGGGCCCCAGCCCCCTCATTCTCCGGTTACCAGTGCTGTTAGACTTTCTACCCCCACAGGTTTTCTCTTCTTTCATCCCTTACGTCCATTGTGGGCCCCGGCACCCCGCTGCCTAGGTGGCTGCTGTAGCTGTCCTGTCATCACACCTGCTCACCATTATCCTGTGTCACACCCTCCCCCACTTTCTTTTCCCTCTTGGGAAGCTTCTCCAAACACAGTTTAGAATGTGTCCCTCCCCTCCCTCAAAAGCCTCCAGTGGCTCCCTTCTGCTACAGCCAAATGCCCTAGCTGGCATTTGAGTTTCTTCTTAGTGCCCTGAGTCCGCTTCGTTCTTAGCAGTCTCCCCCAAACACATACTCCAGCATCCTGTGGGTGAACATTAGGGGGTTTGCCCAGCCATGCTGTCTACCACTTCCTTGCTGCCAGACCAGTCCTTGCAAAAACTCTTTCTCCCACTACACCTTTAAAAGCCTCATGGGCTGGGGAGATAGCTCAGTAGAATAAGCACTTGCCTGGCAAGTGCAAGAGCCTGAGTTCAATTCCTAATTCAAGAAAAAACAAAAAAAAAACAACACCCAAAACGCCTCAGTCTCCCCATCCATCTAATGGACATGTCAACCGGGCTTCAGCCTCTCCTGACTAAGGGACCTGGGGGCGTGCTCTTTGCAGATAGCTACTAGCCCCATTTCATGATTTTTCCATGCCTTCCAGATGCCCAGACCTTTGATGTATTGAGGAGAAACCAGCCCTGGAAATCTGCATCAGCTGAGTGATGCTGTGAGGGAAAGCCATTAGCTGGAGAAGAGGCAGGAGCCCCTTCTCTGTGTCATCCTGTTTGGCATCCCGGAGCACGTTGCTGTAGCAACTCGCCTAACTTGCCCCACATGCCACGTGGAAAAACCTCTGCCTGTTTTAGAGCAGTAACACCGAGCCACAGGCTGGACTCTCCCACCTCACAGGAGGAGGCTGCCTGGCAGTGATGGCAGGGAGGGCTCGGGTGACCAGATGGAGAGGGGGCTGAGGCATCACCGGTTTTCTCTGCCAGCAGCAGCCCAGGTGCCAGGCATCCCAGCAGCAGCCCTTTATTCTTGGTGCAGAGGAGGATGCAGCCCTGTTAAAATGCAAATCCTGAGGGCAGGGCATGTCAGCTGTCAACACTCATTAGCACTGTTCAGCAGGAATTAAGGGAACATGCTTGAGACTTGGGCAGGTTTTGATTAGGGGAACGGAAGCCAGAGGGGCAGGGAGCAGAGGCTGCCCTGCCTTGCCTGCGAGGATGTGCTGGGTGGCAGCTATGGTCCCCAAGGGCTTGGGGGCCCTGAGCAACGGCAAGGGACAGAGAGGCTCTCACACCACCAGGCACCATGTGAGGACCCTCTCACCACGCCACATCAGCATCTCTTGTGGAGGAGCCATCAGTGGTCTAGCAAATCCGAGGGGGACATCTAGGCTGGCAGGTGGGGCAGGGGCTCTTTGTAGCTCATCTCACTTCCCCACAGATAGCTCTTTTGCAAGGGCATCACATTGCAAGGGTGTCCTCCCTAACACATGGTGAGAACAGTAAATGTCCCTGTGAATGGACAGCTTCCCGGGGAGCCAGGAGGTGTCCTGAGCACTTGATACTCTGGGCTGTGAGCCACAGCCTGGCCTAAAAAGTTACTCTTCTACCCATTTTTCCTAGAACTTGAATTCTCAGCCGCCCAAACAGAGGGTGTTGGAACCCAGACAGTGCTCGTGGGCCCAAATCCCCGTTGATGACCTGCTGTGTGGTCGGCAGCAGCTGAACAATCGAGTGGCATCCAGGAAGAGTCCCTCCAGCTGAGACCACGTACATCTGGAGCTCAGTTTTTAAAGCCACAGGAGAAAAACTCTCCATGGCCCCATTAAGCCTGGTTTACAGGATCTGGGGGGTGGGGCGCGGAAGGCTGAGGAAGGGGCAGTGAATGAGGGATAAAGGTTCCACTTTTGAGATGCATGAGAGCATTTTTAAGGCTTGTTTGTAACTGGCCCTTGCCAAGTGACAGCTGGGGGCTGTCACTGTCTGGGGGGATTCTGTAACAGCCCCTTCTTTCCACTGCAACAGTGATTAGCTATCACTCCAAAAGGAAGCTCGTGAATCCCGTGGTGAGATGGTGCCCCAGTGTGGGCATTATGGAGGGTAAAAAAGTTCTTAACTCTCTCCGATGAACTCTTCTCTCCATAGCAAGAGCCAAGCCTGGGTAGCTCAGAACGTGGTTTTATCCTAAGCAGTAAGGCACTGCCTCGGGCACAGGAGTAAGGATGGAGGGAGGAGGAGGTGGTCCAGAGGGCAAGTGGGACTGAGCGCCTCAGCTGAAATGATGACTAGGTCAGGGAGATTTGAGATCCAAGGGAGGGGAGAGATGAGAGGTGCTAAGTAGAGGTGAGACTGCACCCTGTTTCTAGGACCTGCAGCCTGCCTGTGGGGTGGAAGGGGCCACAGGCTCCTCAGCTCCTGGTGGGGGAGGAGTTTGGATCAGACACTCCCTGCACAGTGGACACAGGGCACCTCCTCCTCAGCCTCCCCAGCTGAAGAGCAGGGCGTGAACCTTTACAGAAGAAGAGAGCCAGCCCGGAGTGCTGCCTATCTGCCTGACGCTCTCCAAGTGCTGGGCGTACGCTTGTTCATTCATCTCTGTGACAGCTATACATACTATGACTTTTCCTACTATACAGGAGAGGAAACTGAGGCACAAAGGCATACAGTAACTTGTTAGGGGCATAGAGCCCTAACAGGCAGACCCCAGGCCAATGCCAGGCAGCGAGACCCCAGGGTCTTCTTCCTAAAGGCCAGCTATAAATGCCTTTGGATTTCTTTGCTTCTTGTTGGGGGCTTTTGGGATGGTTACGTCTACCCCTTCCCCTTGTCCATTCTGTAACAGGAACTTCAGAAAGGTAGAGACCCTGAACTCCAAATGGTCTTTGTGAGGATTTGCTCCTGACCTGGCCTCCTGAGGGTCCCTGGCCTCTCGAGGGTCCCTGGCTGGGCCACCTGCATCATCACCCATGTGGAAGCTTGCCATGACACACTGCGCCCAGCTCCGGAGCCTGGGGAGTCTAGACTGACCAGAGTCACCTTTGTGGTTTTAACACTGTCATCTTTTTGTTCTTTACTCAGTCCCAGGAGGGCTGGGCATGGTGGTACACACGCTACTGATCCCTATCTCAGCCTCTTTGGGAGGTTGAGCCAGGAGGATTGCAAATTTGAGCCCAGCCAGATCCTGTCTCAAAATAAAAAAAATAAGGCTGGTAAGATAGCTCAGAGTGAAGGTCCTGGGTTTAGCAAAACAACAAACAAGCAAACAATACAAAACCAAACAACTGGCCCCAGGAGATAGCGCCAGACAGCACAAACACCCTCCTGTAAGTCCCACCCCACTAGGCTTTTCTGTTCACTCAGGCTCCTCCTCCAGGACACCCCCCCCCCATCGCATCCAGCTGTCACCCCAGCTTCACTGCACCACCCCTTCAGCTTCTGTTTCGCTGCCCCTGGTCTTGCCTTGGCCTCTGGCTGCACGCGTGCCTGGTCCCACCCCCAGCTCCTCGTGAGCAGATGTTGCTTCCACATTGACTGATGTGTTTAATGAATCCCACATTTTAAGAACTCAGACTGACCAGACAGAATGCAGCAGTGGTTTTCTCCATAGAAAGGGAGCTCTGAGTCACAAATGCTGCCTTCAGAGGTCCTTTATTGCCACCATCCTTCCCTCTTTTCCTTCACCAACACCCTTGAGCCCTACTATGCGCCATGCCTGCCGGCGTCTCTTACCCTGCCTCAAGCGCGCTGAGGGCTGCAGACCTCACAAGCCACAGCTATTGTTCCCTGGGGAAGCTGTGGGGGAGTCCTGTAAGCCACTGTGCAGGGTGGCTGAGCCAGGTTTGAGTCCCCAGCCTCTGAGGCTGCCACTCAAGCTCAGGTCCTGGAGTGTCATGGAAGCACAACTCTCTCCCTGTGGCTGGATTTCTAGTGATCTGAGGACAGCCCTGAAATCCTCTCTTTTGTTAAAAGCACCAGAATGTGCTTGGTCCCCTGCAGCTGGTTCCTAGCTGGCCAGGCCTCCAAATTCACTCAACTTGCTTTTAGCTGCGCTCCTGTCCACCACGGTTCACCCTGCGCACTTGCTTCCTGTGGTGGCCGACTGCGGAGGGTGAGGGCGTACTGGGGGGGTCTCCACCTGCGCCCCCAAAAGCGCCTCTGCTGCTGCTACCGCACCTGACACCAGCTGCTGATCCCTATCTCGGCCTCCCCCCGCGCGGCCCGCGGTCCCCTAGACCCCGTGTACCCTGGCACGCACCTGGAGCGTATTAGGCAATTAGGCGACCACCTAATTTCCTAACTGCTACTTCCCCGGGTTGTTGAATTTGCCTAATTTCGAGCAGCGGTCGGGCGCTGCCCTGACCTTCAGGTTACTTTTCCCGCCATCCTGGACTGTATGGACCCCAAAAGGGCTCGACACCGCCCAGAAGCCCGATGCCCCGGAGCGCCAGCGGGTCCCCAGTTAGAGGGAGTCTGAGCGACAGCGCTCCGTCTCAGGTCTCCCCAGTTTAGGGGCGGCGTGCTGGGCTGTCCAACTTTGGGGCACTCCGTCCTCTCCGCACAGGCTGGGCGCAGCCCAGTCTCTTCCTGGCCGGCCGGGGTTGCGCGCCCTCGGTACTCCTGGACGCCTGAGCACCCGGCGCGGTCCCCAGGAACCCCAACTGGTGTCCCAGCCCTCGGCGGCGCTCTTCCTCTCTCCCCAGACACACCGGCTTCGGGTTCTGAGTCGCCGGCACTCGGCCGGTTCTGGGGAACCCAGGTACCCGCGAGCAGCCAAGTCCCACCCGAGACCATGCGTCGCGTCGCGGGTTGGGAGGGACTCGGGGTCAGGGGAGTCAAGGGGACACGTACCTGGCCACAGGATGAGCGCCCAGGCCACCACGAGGCCCCGGGGCAGGTCCATGGCCGCGCGGCAGGGTCGGTCCGATCCGGCGAGAGCGGAGCTTCTCTGCGCCTGGCGCTGGGCTCCCAGCGCAGCGCGGAGGAAGTGGGAGGGCTGAGCGCGGGGAGGGGCGCGGGCACCGCGGCCGCCAGACTCCCGCCCAGGCTCGGCCCCTCTGCCACCACCTGGGCCCTCCTCCGCCCACACCACCTCGGGTTAGGCGAGCCCCGGCCGCTCCTGGGACCCCTCACCCACGTGGCACCTGCGTCTACATTCCCGTCACCAAATCTGATCAAGCAAAGTGCCTTGTGGTTCCATCCCCTCAACTTCCCAAAGCCAGGAGAGGGAGAGGGCACCTTCAGTGACTAGAGTACCTTCAGATCCCGGATACCCTGTGTTCCATTTCCCTGAGTAAAGCATCTCCCTGTTCTTCCATAGCCATCAGAGACATCCCCATCTCCCTGCCCTTGGGGCCGGGGGCGGGGGGAGGGGGGCCCCGGGACCGGGGAAAAAAACCCTCCGGGGGGGGGTTGGGGGGGGCGGGGGTGGGGGGGGGGGGGGGGCGGGCTCGAACAATCAAGGTCACAGTGTTGCTTGTGACCCTAGATTCCTCCACCGCCTGCCTAACCCCACAACCAGGGCACTGGGAAGCATCTGGGAAGAAAAGACCCCTTGAACTGGAACCCTGAGGGACCCCTTCTTCTTCTAAACCCTGTGTCAGAGACAACCTGGACGTCAGTAGATGTGGGCCGTCAACTTGCCCGGCCTTGAAATCTGTTTCACAAACGAGCACTCAGCTCCCAGGCCCCAGGAGCAGTGGAGGGGATGAGGGATGGATGAGCGCAGGTAGGTAGGACACTCCGGAGTTGCAGTTTTCCGTTGGAGAGACTAGAAGGGGCCCCAGAGGAGACCACGTGCAGACAGGGCCCCGGGGTTGAATTTTGGGAAGAGATTGTGTTTGCCTCCCCAACCCTTGCTGTGTTTCTTGGTCAAATCCTAGTTTTTACTTTGTACTCACTTCTCCCACTTAGCCACATACCAGGTGAAGTGGATTCCATTGGGTGTGGGGGGAGGAGCGTGTGGATGTGGTTTAGGTTTTAGGGTGAAATCAATGTGTTGTCATCCCTGGACCAATGCTTCAGAAGACCAATATGACAAAGAAAACAATTTTCCTTCTGCTTTAAAAGAGTCCCTGGAAAGCAGGGATGCACGCTGTCTCTTCCTTCTTACCTTCTCCTTCTCTCCCAGGCTTGGCTGTTGACTCAGGATGGGGTGGACAATGGCATCTGGCCTTGGATTCAGGCAGACGCTGGTTTTGAGAAGTGGAGAAGCTAAGGCCCTAAGGACCTCACGGAGCCCTGGCTCACTCCAGCCCTGCTGCCTCCCCCTCCCCCTGGTACTTTCCAATTACTGGATCAGTTTGAGCCACCTTGAGCCAGGGTGCTTGGGACCTGGATGGTGATGACAGACAACAGCCACCCGATGGGCTGCCACCCACTTCCCTGCCTCAGAGACCCCAAGAACATTGGAAATGACCCAGGGCAGCTCAGAAGGCTGCAAAGGCCCCAGGCAGACACCCTAGGCTGCTCCCAGGGGTGGGTGGGCTTCGTGGCCAGGGTCTTGCTGGTAGCAGTCCTCTACTTTGTCAGCTGTCACCTGGGACCTGGGGGTCCTGAGTGGTATGAGTGTGCTTCCGGGTGGGGTGGGGGTGGGGGAAGAGGTGTCCCATACTTAACCTTGCAACACATACTTGGGATCCTCGGTGTGCCATGCTCTGCAAGAAGCCTGCGCTGGAGGAGCTAGGGACAGAGCCCAGCAGGTGAGACAGAGCTTGCTTCATTTACTTCATCATAATTTCTTATTCATTTACTTAAGTCAGTCTCACTGAATCATCATTAAACATTATTGAAACCACACCAGGCCTCAGGGTGTGGGGGACAAATCCAGGAGGGGTGTAGAGTGTTGGGTGGAGGGCTCTGTGGAAGCTGGGGTTGGAGGTGATGGGGTACTAATAATCCCTTCCACGCACACAGTGTATTTATTTTACATTTTAATTGAGACATAATGTCATAACATTCTCCATACAGTTCCGTGGTTTCCCCTCTGCTCACCAGCACCACTAATCTCACAGCGTTTCCATCACACACACACCCCACAAGGAAACCCCCAGGCGCATGAGCAGCCAATCCCATTCCTTCATCCCAGCCCCTGGCAACCACCAATCGGCTTCCCTTTTCCATGGATCTGCCAGTTTGGGACAGATCAAGTCAATGGAATCATCCCTTACAAGGCCTTTTGTGTCTGCCTGCTCAACAAAATGTTTTGGCATCAGCATTTTGTTCTTCTTTATGACCAAGTAACATTCCATGTGTGGCTATGCCTCATTCTGTGGACCCGTGCCTCAGGTGATGTTTATTTGGAGAGTTCTACTTTGGGCTGATGAAGAACTCTGCTATGAACATTTGCGTAAGAGTTTTTGTGTGAACATCTGCTTCCAATTCCCTTGGGTACGTACAGTAATGTTTGGCATGGTCACCAACCATGTATAGGGAGGTGGTTCCATCTGCCCAGTGCCATGTAGGTTTGTGTAAGTAGCACTGTCCCCATCTCTAAGTGACACATGGCTACCTAGGAGTGGCATGGCTGAGTCACATAATAATTTTATGTTTGATGGCTTGAGGAGTGCCTGAAGTTTCCCCAGCTGTATCACTTTATGTTCCCACTAGCAATCTGTGAGTGGGAGTGTTTGGAGTGGCTGGTGCTCAGTGGTTTGGGAAACTCAGGTCCCTGTGAGCAGCCAGGTCCCACCCAAGACTGCATTTGAAATCTCTTTCATACCTGTGACCTCATTTAATCCCAATCTCCCTGCAAGGAATTATGTTGGTTATTTATAGATGAAGAGATTACATAGGTAATTCCAATCTCCCTGCAAGGAATTATGTTGGTTATTTATAGATGAAGAGATTACATAGGTAAGGAGTCTTTCAGTTGCAAGTGACAAAACTCAGCACCAACCTGGCTGAAACAGAAAAAAAGATGCGGAATCAGATAACTGGGAAGTGCCCAGGTGTTCTGGCTGCAGGTACAGCTGGATCCAGGGGCTAGAATGAAGGTTACTGCTTTCTCTTTGTCTTCTTAGTTTTGCTTCATTCTCTTCTCCTTTCCTCCAGCGGGCAGGATTTCTCTGCCCATCGGGAGCAATGGCGGGCTGCAGCCACAAGCTTATACTTTACAGATTCTAAAAGGAGAGCAGCGGCTTCCCTCTTAGATCCAGCAGAGAAGCCCAGAGCTTTGGTGCAAGTCTCTCGGGAACAAATCACAGTGTCTGGAGGACATGGTATTATAATTGACCCAGCCTGGGACACACCCAGCCCTGAGGACTTGGGAGGAGGAGGGCAGAGAACTCCACTGAGGCCACACAGTATGGAGGGGAGCTCCCCAAAGGAACTGCGAAAGGAGGGGGGCGAAGTGCTCTGGACAAACCTGTAATTTCCAAGTCCACTCCAAGGGTCTAAGCTCAAAGCAGCAACAGATGCACTGCAGGTGCCCTGGCACCTGTGTGGCAGAACTCGGACGAGGGCCCGGGGTCTGAGTGTGGGCCACGCGTCCCAGGCAAGCTTGCTGGATTTCAATGAGAGAAGTGGTATGGGTAGGTCCCCCAGCTCTGCCTTGCACCTCCCACCACCTCACTCTCCCCTACTCTCTTTCCCCTTCTCTCTTTCCTACTCCTCGGATCTCTCTGCCTTCTCTTCTGCATTACCAGGACCCTCCAAATGCAGCCGCTGTCCATATCAGCATGAGGGCCCTACCTGGAGTCCCCACCTGATTCCCAGGCTGCTCTATCCCGCTTCCTGTACCATCTCTTAGTCTCTGCTCAGGAAACACAAGCTCTTTTTCTGCTTTTAAAACATAAAGTTACTGAGAAGCTACATCTGATGCCAAGAAATGATATAATAAATTCCAAAGCAAAAAAAACAGACACGAAAGCTACCAGATTGCATGTGTTATCTACAGTTTGAATGATACGCATGCTGTGTATGACGGAAAGTAGCTAGGCCGGTCATGCACAGACGGGCTTAGAGGACCTCCCTTGATTTTGGTCTGTCACATCAAATGTCATCCCTGCCAACAAAATGAACAGATGAACCCTGAGGAAATGCGTTGCTCCCAGGAGCTAGCGTGTGTCACCCCAGCCACTTTCAACCTCAGAGCCCATCTGGTGGGGCTGGGCTGGTAACTGTTCTTCCCGACCCTGTGCTGAGCCCAGTCTTATTCCTGTCGCTCAGGACCAGGGACTGACTTTTCGAATGCCACCGAGGCCTGCGCACGGCCTACACCGAACCCAGGAAGTTACTTGGTGACCTTCTTTCTCAAGCCACAAATATGTTCAGCATTCGCAGTAAAGATAGCAAAAGGAAGGAAGGTGGGTGGCCTCCCCACAGACAGGCACGCAGGAAGGCGAGGAAAACAGCCCTCGGGAGAAGAAGCGCACCAAAGGGTGAGCGAGCGCGCAAGCATCTCACACGCCTACAGGTGTCAGGTGACGTCCTTGCTGAGGGGCCACTGAGGGCCTTAGTGGGCTAAAGCCTCATCATTGGGTCAGAACAGAAAGCCACACTGCAAAAGAGACATCACCCATGGTGCGCTGTTCAGCCATAAAAAGGGACAAATTCGAGGCACATGTAGGCAAACGGGTGCACCAAGAGACCATAATGCTAAGTGAAATGAACCCGATCCAGAAGGTTAAATGTTGTGTGGCTTTCTCTTATAGGCGAAACCCAGAATCTAAAGAATCTGAAAAGCAGAACAGAAGATAGATGATCTGGCACAGAGAGATGGGAAGGGGCTCTGGGGATTGGGGTTGACAGGAGTGAGGGGAGGAGAAGAGGAAGGGAAAGGATCATGATGTGAGACCAGTATGGAGCTGCAGAGATAGCTCAGCAGATCAAGCACCCGCTTAGGCAAGCGCAAGGACCGGGGTTCAATTCCTGGTACCACTTGTTGCACCGGACCCACCCCTGGGTGTGCTGAGCTGGCCACTGAG